GTGTGTAGTGTGTGTAGTGTGTGTGTGTGTGTGTGTGTATGTGTGTGTGTGTGTGTGTGTGTATGTGTGTGTGTGTGTGTATGTGTGTGTGTGTGTGTGTGTGTGTGAGAGAGAGTATGTGAGTATGCATATGGTCGGCATAAGTCCATCGTAAAATGTGCGGGGCAGTGGGTGGTGCACCTAACTTACTGCAGTGGTTGCTCGCTGTGGTGCCATTTACCGCCGGTACTGCAACTTATTATCACAAGAAATGCTGCAGGCATGCGACATTGATTATGGCGGTACGTCAACCTTTCAAATCCAGGTAAATTTGTTGCTCGAATGTAGTCCTCTCTCCCTCATAGTCTTTTGATCTGTCTGTTCTTCCTTAGTGTTATACTCCCGCTCATTGTTTTACTGAACAAAAGGTTAACTTAGGAAAAAGTATTGCGGTGAGCAAAACTCTGATTTTCTTTTTCGCGGATGGAGTTATAGAGCGGTCATCATCAAATATATGGATAAAATGAGTCTTCGCCTATTGAAGAGCTAATCCTTATTCAGCAGAGGTTGTGCAGGACCGATTTATACGTCCTATCAATCAACAAACTTCCAAAAGTGACCGGTATAGATTATAGCTCACATAAAAGTCGTGCAGGAAATTTTTTGCTATTTTGTGAGTGATGGATAATTTGTGAAATGACACGCAGCACCAGCCGGTCTTAAGTGCTTAAAATTTAGTAGGGTATCAGATCACCTGAGGAAGAGGATCTGTAGCAATAGGAACGAACGTAACGTAGCTCGGAAATGGCCTTCTTGAAGGTTATTACTGATGAGGCATCAGTTACAGCATTTTGAAGTGTTTTCGGGATCCTGTTGCTAACCTACCAACATAGCATCTAATAAAACTCAATTTTCGATCGTTTGGTTGTAGAGGTATCAATCAATTCACTCCGCATTCCATAGCCTTCTTTTTCCTCTATTCTCCTCTTTAGTATTCGTCCTGCACTACCTGTTTGTTGGAAACACTTTTATCACATTCATTATTTTCTAACTGTAATGTGTTGGTTCTCCTAAACATGGAAGTTTAACAAATTTTTGTCGCCAAAAATGCCGTTATCGACTCTGTGGATTCGAGAACTCAAAATTCATAGGAGAGAAGGTGATGGAGAAACTAGAATAAAACTGGAGAGGTCATTATGAACTCAATGTTATACTAATATTTTCCTAATAAAAGTGATCAGGAATGACTCATCAGCTGTGCAGATATTCCCGCGGCAAGTGGCTAAATGTCAGTACCTTAAACTGAATTGTAGTGAGTACATACAAAACCTGTTTCAGCTATGGTAATTACTAAACGGACTGATTTAAAACGCAATTCTTTTGTTAAGTTTGTTCAGTTGAAGAATTATTATGCATCATTCTATTTCTGGTTTACTATCGTGAATTCCATAAGCTGAAACTGCAAAAACTTCTAGTGAACAATTAATCAGATATATTGTTGGTTTGGAATTTTTGCTTGACAAGTTTATTATCATTATCCTTAAACTGATAAAGTAATGGCTTGTTTTATTAGCGATAAGGCACCCACGTTTTCGTGAGATCAGAGTGGAAGAAACAGACGAATAGCTTGGTGCAGATCCGAATTATCAACCTCCTAGTTCATTTCAAACTTTTCTCGTACTTTCCGTAATGTAAACAAGCAGTTCAACATGATGTATGACATTAGAATTTCCTTTTGATGACAAAATCTTTAAATGAGGGAAGTTTCAAAATGCTTACGCTCCGCTGCTCCATTCGTTAAAGCATGCAGAAATATATACCAATTTTTCATTTTTATTCAGTAGAACTGATTTCGCTTCGCTTTATGCCTCCAGAACCTAAGAATCTCATTTTATTGGTTTTAAGAGTACAGCTAAGGAATGTTTTTGAGAATCTCACCACTAAAATTCAATTACTGGGAACTTTCTAACTTTTTGAAAAAGATTAACGACAAACCAGGACTTTAGATTTCTAGTTTTACTGCCAAGCAGCGTGTCTATTTCACTTCGTTTTCTGGGAAGTTTCGCCAGTTATTTTACCCACTTAATGCAAATTTCTGTAAAATCTAGGCATTTACTTCCACCGGAGAACGGCTCGTTAACACTACTGTGAACAGCTCTTTATCTCTCAGTACTTATCTCTTTCTTATTTGCATCAGATACACTTTTGCGCTTATTGCATTTCAGCATAATAAGTCTTTTGCACTTACATGATTAGAAAACCAAGGATTATGAAAAGTTTTGGTAGGGCGATTTCCTTGACAGATTTTGTCGGGTTTCGGTTTCGGAGATAATGGCAAGAAAAAAGCTAACAGTATATGAAAAGTAAACTAAATCGCAGTGAATGAAGAAAGTAGCAAATCCTCTGGAAAGCGTTTCATGACCAAGGCTGGTTTGATTTCTGTGCAATGCTTACAGAAATACGGGCTAGCATAATCTAAGTAATGTATCTCTTTCACCAAATACCAGTTTCTTGCTTAACTACGACATCTGTAAGCCCATGCATTTGATGGAGAGTTCTTTTCAGTCTAACTTCGGAAATGACGTCGTTTGCCAAATCATTTTCTCGTTTTACGTCCAGCTTTCACGGAATTTCCTGGCTTTACAAATGTCGTTCGCAAGAGTACCGCTTCATCCACAAAACATTTACGAACATCGCTGCTATTTGCACCTCTCGTCGATTTATTCTACTTATTAGTCTTCCCATGTTAATATTCTCGTGTCTACCTGTCTTCCCGATTGTTATGTTAATCAGAAAGGTTGGCAGTGTGAGATTACCTCTATTTTGCTCTTAGTATAAAATCTATTTGCTTTACGGTACGGTTGCATAAGACGTATAGCACGCACACGCACACATAGACACACACACAGACACAGACAGACACGCACACACCGAACCGACAATCATCCTCATTCAATTATGTATTAATTTTAATACCCTATATGAATGCATTCGAAAGAAATCAGATAAGCAGATTAAAAACGCACGATGCAATCCAAAGTAACTATCGATAGATACGCACCACCAGTACGGCACGGGATTCCCCATTTTAACAATAGCTCCCATTTTGTTTCTCTATTCGTCACTCACTCTGATGCAAAGTGTTCCCAAATGAAAATTGCTGCGAAAGGAAGAAATAAAGCTAGGCGTACTGCTGGTAGAAAGAGAAAGAGAGTTTTTTTAATCATTTTTTAGTCTTCCCAACTAAATAGCCAGTGTTGTGTGCAAATTTCATTTGAAGCATCGTTTTTGTACGCTTCAGATAGATTTCGATCACAGTGTAGGATCAGTCCATTGATAAGCTTCCACCCCTTATATAATTCCCGACTTTGACAGCTAACAATCATTCATAGTAAACCGGACTACTGATTATCAAAACTAGGTTATTATCAGTTTATATATCATTAAGCACTAAGAGCACGCTATTTAAGTGAGACACACTACAAGAGTACCTCGAAACCGGTCTCTCGTTACAGCCAACAGTCGTAGTCAAGCAACAGCAACAAAATCACCGTATCCACAAAACAAGCAGACAAACGAAAGAGCAAAGAAATATTTTAAGTATATATGTATAGACATATAGATGCGCACTCGTAGATCCCAAAATTTGTTTTTCCTGCTGTATTATGATTCGCGGTTTGGTTAATTGTTGCTGAAGTTATTTTTCTTATCTACTTGACCGAAGAGATACAGAGTACTACTGTATTCATTTTATTTCGCCTAACTAAAATTGCAACATCGGTAATTAAATACGACCAGGGTCAGAGGAGTTGCATCAAGGATGAGACATTTCAATCCCATGGACCATGCATAAATATGAAATCACTGGGAAAACGGCCGAGACCACTCTTCTTAAATAGGAAGGGAATAAAAAAGGCCAGCATACCTAACTGTTGTTAAAGTGATGCCTGTTCTTACTTGAAGCAAAAGATGAACATGCCAGATGCTAAACACATCAAGAGTATAGCATTCAACTATCACATGGATGATCCGAAGTTCAAAACATTTTTTTCCCTTTTCATGTTTAAAATTTAGTGGTACGTTTCCATTCACTTTGTTTACTGTAACATACAGCTCTTCTCATAATGTGTCTATATTTTGATTTTTTACTGCTATACATCTTTTCTCTTTTTTCTTTAAATATGCAGCATGAAAATGTATGTTGAAATTCTGTTTATAGAATAATGTGTGTTCAATAATTCCTTACAGTCCTAAAATATTTTATTTTGAGCTAAAAATTAAGGTACGTACGGAGTTATATAAATAGGAGAGTTCTCAGAAAGATAAAGTTTAAAAAAGGAAAGGATAACGGTTGCAAACTGAATTAAAACATGCAGTGAGAAATCTTTCAAGTCAGTGTTCACTCTCTATCCTTTTCTGTCTTGACTCTTGACATTAAGGTAAAAAGGACAAGTATTCATGAACAGTGTTCTTGAGAATAAAGGTAAGGGGAAAAATACCGTGCAGTAACAGACATGAGTCGTCCCATAAGGAGCTTCAAGACTTACGACATATGGAAGGAAGGGGTGGTAGAAAACCGCACAAACTGGAAGAAAAATTTAGTAAAATACACAAATATAATGGAAACAAATTAATAAACAAACCAACACAGTGACGATGAAAATCTTCGAACGCATTACGTATCCCGAGATGAGATCATGCACGGGTGAAACCCCGTTATCACTTACCAGGTTTGAATTCAAGTTGCCAATGCAGAGACGTGCTGGTGATGTGTTTGGGTGGTTTTTGATAGATTCTTTGTGAAGAGATTCTAAATTCAATTTAAATTCAGACTTCCACCTGGTGATTTTAGCGAGTGATTCAGGAAGTCACTTTGATCCTATTCTGAGGGCTTACATGGAATCTTAGCATCAGCGTTTGCTTAGCAATCTATATTTTTCCTGCAAAATAAATTTGTTGTTATGACGCGATCTTGATATTCGTTGTAAGTACCAACACCCTCAATACCTTCAGAAACACAGGAAAGTTCTACTTTATATGCTGACGATGACAGATAACAAATAAGCTAATGCAAAACTGTGAAACTTTTGCAAACTAAATAGGCAGAGATCCGTCGAGACAGAGCTTAAGGGTTCGGCTCTAGAGTGTGACTTCCTGTAATTATACTTCCTCTAAGAATTGTTTTTTGGATTTTCGCTTTTTTGATTTTAAAATGCATGGTGTTCTCAGGTAGTCACTAATGTTAAAAGCTGCTTATTTTTGCAGTATGCTGGTTTGGTTCACGACATTCGTGGTGACATTGACCCTAGCGGACGCACTGATTTGCTCAAAATTCTGGATCGTGCCAAGGTATTCTCTTCTAAAAATTGGAAAAAACAGTGAAATGTTTAAGTAGTCGCACAAACACTTGTTTCGTGACGAAAATGAGGTTTTAAACCTTAAATTGCAAGAAGGATAGTTATTTTAAGAATCATTATCCTTTTTCGCTTTATCCGCTAAGAATTAAGCCAAACGTCAGCTGGTGTTAACGACGTAGAGCAAGTGTGGATCTTGAAACTGGATATTTTTGTGAATATTCCATTATTTTAGTACATCACATTCCTTCACTTTGAATTTATTTTAGAACTTTTTCTTCCCCAAAGTTTTCTCTTTTGTAGATCAGAAAGCAAATTACGTCTTTTGATGCGAAAAGCAATTTTATTGGGAATGCAGTCCTTCAGATTGATTCGTGTTCAGTAGCGGTCCGATCAATTTTTGATAATGTGAGTGGTACTTATTGAATTGTAGATCTCATAGTAAAAGTCACTATGATGTTGTCACAATTAAATTAACATTTAAAGTCCAACTTGAACTGCGATTTTTTTAAGGAACTGCTGCTTCATGTACCAATTCACTTAATTGCATCTGTTGGTTTTGTTCGTGAAGCGCATGAATACATTCTTCCTATAAAGGTGGGATACAGCAGCACTCGAAACCGTGACTTCTTTGACCTTGCTGTCGTATACTGTGAAACCGCTGTAATTTTTTTGATGATTGTCTTGCTTTTACAATTTATGAGTTTTTCTGAGTGTGGATTTCTTTGTGTTAACAATTTTGATGAAAATGCCAAATCAGAGATAATACCATATTCTTGTCATAAATATCTGGCATGTATTTCGAAATCGGAAAGTTAAGCGGTGGCTGAAAAATACAGAATATGCCATTTCATCTTAAATCAGTCAATTTCCATTGAACTTCAGTCAATTTTGTAGTCGACTTGCATTTTCGAATATTTTGCCACATCCTGTACATTTTACAATATTTTGATTAGCTGTATTAAATGGATACAGTGAACGTTTCATTCAGGGTGTAGCGGAAACAATTTGCAACATCTTGGGACAATTTTTCTCTCAAGTTTATAAGGATATCGCCAGTAATTTTGAAACGATTGTGTCAAAAAGTTCGCGAAGTTTCCTTCGTTTAATTTAGGTAAAATCTGCGGCCCAAAATAGATGAATGGGTGTCAAAAATGCTCATTCTTTGCTTCTTAATGTATCAGATTCATTTCTTACTGTGACTAACTTTTTTTTTTTTTTTTGAGGAAAACATTTTTTTATTATTTTGAGAAAAACAAGAAAAAGGAAGTGATTTCAGAAACGCCTACTATCTCGTCAGTTTCACCTTTCAATAATCACCGCCCTTTATTGTGAGTTCATTTTTTCTGAAATGTAACATCATTTGTGGTGTAAATTTTTACACATGTGGTTATTGCGGAACGAGAAATTTTCATACAGTGCGAGGTCGAGGAAATGTAAATGTAAATCGTTTTTCCGTAGTGTCGTAAAATAATTGCAGCTTGACAGAATCACATCAAGATTTGCGTGTCAGCAGTAGTCGTCATCCTTGTTCTACAACTGCTTCACGTAGTGAATCCACAGAAGTACAAATTGATGATATCATAGAAGATTATATGACTGTGGTAAGTTTGCAAGTATAAAACTATTTTATTATTACCAATTGGCTATTAATATTTTGTAAACACCATATCGTTGATGACATCCCACGAGTCTGGTTAATAATTCTTTGTTAAACGTAATGAATGTATTTAAAGAAAAAAAGAACGGAAAAAACCTTGCATGGAAACCATTTTTATTTTCTTCACCGTTAATTTGCCACAATAAACTATGGTTGTCTAAGTTTCAAAGTTTCTAAGTTTTAATATCTAGCTGATATTGATTGAGCACATGCGATTTAAAATTTCCCTTGGAACATAAGAATTGAATTGTGTAGTCATAGCTAATAATTTACTTCATTACAATTTTCTGTAGGGTTTCCTTTAATTGATTGTGTGTCTTTTTTTTTCGTTTTTCTTTTTTTTTCCTAGCTGACAAAGTCTCTAACAACTAGCGAGCTTTCGCAATATGCAGCATTGATTGTGAGGTTTCGGAACGGCTCTATGCCCATTATAGAACTAGCACAGAAGTCGAGTGAGTTGTATGGACCAGATAGATTGCATTTGCTTACAGGTATCTTTTATGATGCCAGTTAATAGCTGATTGATAGTTTTACGATGCTGTTTGTTAAGCTGCTAAAAACGGTCACCATTACAGAGAGGTACTGAGCGCATCTATGGGAACGATTCTTTTTGTGATTTATTTAGCGATTCGGTGAAATAGCTTTTTTCTGCATTCATCCAGATTTATTTGTTGCCACTGGAATGGTCCAGTCATCTTTATAATTTACCATGATATATCTGTTGGTCGCAGTGCAGCATGAACCTCCTGGGACAGACGCATAAATAATGCCAGTCGCCAGCCTTCAGGCCATTCCTTTCAGTATACTCCTCCTGGTCGACGAATCGGATTTTCGTGATGAATTCACCATGCCGAAATTTTTTCATTTTTTCACAGAAAAAAACGAATTTTGCATCCTGTTTTTATCATTCTGACTCTGTCCACATTTGTAGCTGGTATGCATTGATATTTACAAAATTCTAGGGATGAATCAAAATACTGCTAATTAACTACTCATCAAAACCAGCAATTCCAACTACCATTTTCGATGTTGATGAAGTGTAGTGTTCCTTCAATTTTAAACTGCTCATTTTAATAATTCTTTATCGCCCTTTACCGGAAACATTTATTTCAAAAAAGAAAGTTTATACAAAAATTGTTGGAAATGTTATTGGTTGTTTTATCTTTTTCTTTTTTTATGCTGTTTCATGCATTGAAATGTTTTCATTGCGATGGCAGATGTACTTTTTCTGCAATTGTTATTTCCAGTTTTCATTGGTTTTTTACTGGACATGCTCAGTCTTACTGATCTGCCAAACTTTTACTTGTTATTTGACTGTTTTTACACCTCTTTTATGTTTTCAGACCTGAGAAACATTATGATCAGAATTTTCTGGTTAAAGTTTCCCGGTTCTCGTAGTCATACCATTAATTAAGACGATAATAGAAAACTCAGAAGTTTGAAGATGGTATATACTGGAAAAAAGCAGTAGATTTCGTTAGAGTAAGGTAAAACTTTTAAAAAACTAAAAGCCAGCAACAAAAGAGTAATAATAAAGCTATTTTGTATTGCATTAAATGGATTAGGCAATTGGATAAAACGTTTGTACGAGTAATAACGTCCAAAAATTATCAAATTTTATTTTAAACATGAGAGAATTGCTATGGATTGAAAATAAATAGCTCAGGGTTGATCATTTTGCGACGACGTGTTGTGCTTTTTGTACTGCTGCATCTTGATAGCCTTATTAGAATTAAGCGTTATTCCATTAAAGCCTGGTGTATGCGTATCAATGAGAAAAAAAAAAAGAATTACACACTGTTATTCCTGTTAAAGACTGTATATCGTGAGAAAAGATGAAGGTGTTCGAATATTTTAAATTTCTGCTTTTATTACTTCATGTTTTAAATATCTATGATAGACAGACTTAAATCTTTTATGTATTCCTCCTCGCTAAAATTAGTCTCAAATTCGAATAATTGAAAAAAAGTGGGTATTCCTTACTACGTTGTGTAGCCTATTCATTGCGTTCATGCATAATCGGTAGCAGTTAATGAATAACAGTGTTTCCCAAAAATATAATTTAATTTTGCCAGATAGAATTATTAATACTTGAAAAATCATGCGTTGTAGGTATGCGGTGCTTATTGAGGAACAGGAGCAAGGAAGAAATCGAATCTTTCGATGGTTTTATCCGGATGTTGCAATTAAGCAGTGGAAGCCTGAGTTAAGAATAAATTTAAGAGTTAGTCGCAAATCTTTCTAGTAGCCTTGCTTAATTTTTAATCTTCATTGTTTCAATTAAAAACAAGGGAAAAGATCGTTGGTTTTCCTAAATTTTGTAAGGCATGCTTTTTTTTTTTTTGCCGTTTGTTATAAATCAGAGATATATGCAATTTTTGCGGTAAAATTTTAGCCTTTAAAAGTACATTTGCAACAGGAAGTGGAAAATCTCAAGCTGTAATTTCAGTAACTGAATTGTCCACATTGTAAAGATTTTATCTGCGAATAATTTTATGTTATAATCAATGGTAGTCGAGAAACTTTTATTCTTTCATGTTTTTTTTTTTTTTTTAGAATTATAATAACTCTGAAGATCTGGAGTACGCTTAAATTTTCTGGGACCAAATTTGCATCATTTATATTGATTACATGGGTACATTTATAGATTGCAAGTAGTTTGGTGACTGCATTTGAACGAAAATGAGTTGTGGTATTGATGTTGAAGATTCTTGTGATGCTTGTGATCATATTCTTTGGAAATTTTGGTGCAAAGTTTATTGTCTTTTTATTTTTCAAACTACGAAGTAAATTTTTTTCGTGTGTGTTGTGTTTCTTCAATAGCTATTAGTATTTAGTTCTTGTAACGATGCATATCTTTCTTTTCAAGATATTCATTGCGATTGGTCAAGTTCTTGTACTCATATTAATTTGAATAGCGGGGAACAATTGCAAAGTTTGACTTCTCATAATCTATTTTTATCATTTTTCAGTTCATCGCTTCGAACTGTTTGTTTCTGCGGAATGACAATATGATTTACAGAAATGCACAGTTCGAAGTGACAGACTTTTCTGCAGTTTTTTGGAAGCAAATAGAATGAGGAACACGATGCGGTGGCACCCTCTCGTTGTTGGTCCTGAATTTTGTGAGGGTTTATGGTCATTAGTAGGTGCAGTGAAATCTCGTTTGTTAATATATATATATATATATATATTATATATATATATATATATATATATATATATATATATATATATATATATATATATATATATATATATATAGTATATAGTAGTA